TTTAAAATATTAATTTTATTAACTATTAAAAATATAGCAAAGTAACTAAAAATATTCATCATTAAATATAAAGTTACTTCTTATATTTTTTGCTACTAAATGTTGTTACGAAACTTGATGGTAGTCCATTTATAATAGGAAGAAAAAAATGCTAACAAATAAGCCAACTTTAACGATATAAATCTAGAAAAAATTCAAAAGATAATATCTTCAAGTATCATTGACGAAAAAAGAAAGCAAAAAAAAAAAAAAAAAAAAAAAAAAATGCTAAATACAAAGAGATAAGAGAAACTTGAATTAAGATTAGAACTCAAAAAAGGTATTGAAAAGATTGGATATGGCCTTAGGTTTGTTTTTATATACAAACTATAAAGGAAGATTTATAGAAGCTTTTAAGAAACTGCAAGGCTTATGATCTAATCATCAAGTTGTGGGTTGCTTCTAACATAATTTTTTAATAGAATAAAACTTATGGAATAAAAGTCAATAATTATATGACATATCTATAAAAGTCTAAGTATCTTATTTACATCTGAAGGATTTCCTTAAAGCTTTTTAAAGAAGACATTCTCTTTATAACATGCTTCTATATACTTTTATTTAGTTCTATTTACTTAAGTACTATAAGCATCAATCACATTATTTCTTCTTTTAGGCAATAAGTTCTACTATCACCAATCAAATTACTTTATAAGTTGATGAGGACCAAGATCCATCAAATCGTATTAAAAACAGACTTTGATCAATATTTTATACAAAGATGGATGATGGTTCCATTAACTATCAATAATATTTTATATCAAGGCAAGACGACCATCATATTATTTGATTGTTGTTGAAATCTTCAACAATATCTTTAAATAATTCATTATGCATTTTATGAGGTATATATATATATATATATATATATATATTCAATAATATAACTAATCATAAAAAACCTCTTCTAAGATTGTAGTATTAAAGATGTTACATCTTGTCATTTATTTAAAATTAATCATATTTTTGTTGAAGATATTTATTAAAATTCCAATGTTATTTAAGTTAAGACAATCTAAGTGTTGCATATAAAAGTTTTTATAAATAAAAACTATTGAGATAAATTTATTAGTTGTTGATTCTTTATGTTGCAAAGTTGTTTTATATATTGATCTTTAAATTTCTTATTCTTTGATTTATGTTATTATATTATAAATAATTGGTCATTGGTTTATATAGGTGTCTTCAAAAAAAAAGAGCAACAAGCTCTAATGCATTTGTACAATTTTCAAATGGCTCTAAAATACCTTCAATAATATCAAATCTGTGCTAATATACAAAATGTATCAATTTATTTTGGTATTGCCATGAATCCAAGATATCTTCCACTTCAAACTTTAAGTTGTTATATTTTTGAATAAGAAGTGGCAGTAATTAATTTTTTCATATTATATTGATTGAAATATAAGACTTATTATGATACATGCAAAATACATCATAAGTTGTTATTGACTATAGTAATTGTAATCAATATTTAATTATTATTATTATTATTATTATTATTTAATAATAAATAGCTCAAATATTTGATAAATCAAATAATATGTCTTATTATTAAATTTGAATATATATATATATATTTAATAAAAAAATAATATTATTATTTTTTATTTTTTTAAGCCTATTTTAATTATATTTTATTGTTTTATGAAGCTCTACCATTTTTCTTACCAAATCATTTGCTTTTGAATTCTTAACTTTTATAAAATCAAAAGTATCATATCATAGATGGTAATCATAATTAGCAAAAAATTAACTTTATTGAACTAAAAACTATACTATATTATTGTATAAAAGTTTTACTAATAATAAAAAAGTTCTCAATTCTATTTATAATAGTTAATAGTGCATTACAAGTACTATTCTAATACTTGATTTATGTTCTATGTATCAATTAGCTTGTAGATAGAAAATTAATGATAACTTGATATCAATTTTAAATATATTGAATATTGTCTTATAAAATTCTAATACAAATTGAAATCTTCAATCATATATAATATTACTTAGAAGTCTATAATATTAAAATATATTACTAAAAATAAATTGATTGTTTTTTACTAATAATAGTTTTTATTCAAAGTACAAAATAAGCCATCTCTATTAGACAATCTATTATCACAATTTTTTTAAGAATTTAGAATTATCAAATTTATAATAGAATCTATTGAACAAATGAACAAGTTTGCTTTATAATAGGTAGAAATTGAGTAAGTCTATAGAATTGATAATTTAAAGTTTTTGTTTAAGAATAAGTATCATAGAATTAATCAAATGCTTTCATTTCTTTTTACATTTGAAATCACCGCAAATCTCTTAAGTTAAGTTTCAAAGACTTTTTTATATCCAAAGTGTCTTATTGCAATAGTCATGTTGTACTTGTAATACATGTAATTATGTTTGGTCTTTTAAAATTTATTAAAAAAAATCATATTAAAAAAAAAAAAAAAATCTAATTCAAACCTAATAGAGCCATTATAAAGGATGTTATAAAAATTAAAAAGAAGAATTTTTGTTAACATAACTGAACAAGATTTATCAAAAAAATAAAATATCAATTATAATTATTGACCTAGTAGTTTAAAGATACAGTTGCTTTGATTTCAAAAGAACAATTTGTTATGGATCATACATAAAAATTCTTTCTATTGGTCCAAAATAAAAATATCTATACAAGGCATCTAATGATCTTTATTATTATCTAAAAAAATGTATAATATTCAATATAAACTATATAAAAAATATGTTCTAATGGATTTAGAAATTATTTAAAATATACATTGATACAAAAAAATATAACTATTTTGATTAGTGTAAATTTTCATTGAATGAAAAGAATCTTCTAAATAGAGACATTATTTTAGAATAAATTATTATAATAGGAAGAAATTCTTTTTTATGAATTTCATAAGTAACTTAAGCTATCAAAAATATTTTTAAATAAAAGATAATAGAATAAAATCTATTATCTTTATTTATTTATAATATTCAATACTTGTAATATTTAATATTTATAATATAATACATTGATATTAGATCATTTCCAAGTCTAAAAGACATGACATTATATTTGATATAGTCAAATTTTGTTTAATATGCAATCTTTTATTTATCCTCTTCTTTAACACTTATCAAATCATAGGCTCTTTGTAGATCTATATTATTATAGTCTATAGTTTTATTCAATTGATTAAAGAAGCTTAATATTAAAGACAAAGGATAATAATCATAAATAGTTAATTTATTCAATTGATAATCTACTCATATTTTCGAGATCTATTTTTTTTTTTTGTCACAAAACAAATAAGCACGTGCATAAGAGATTTTGAATATCAAATAAAATTCTTTGTAAGATTTTCAAAAAATATATTCTTTTAAAGTAACAAATATATTCTACAAGTTATAAATTAGTTCAAACGGTAATTGAGGTCTTTCTTGAAGATCAATTGTACAATCATAAGATTCATATTTTTAAAAATATCAATATTATTTTTTTTCAAAGACATATTAGCATTTTTTATAATGCCTTGAGATTATATTGTAGCCTTCATTAGAATAAAAAAATTAATGATGTATAAATAACAAAAAAATCTTCTTCTTTTATAGCTTGTATAGAGGCATTAGCTCCATCAAATAAAGATTAAAATGGATTTTTGGTATTTTGATTAGATCCTTAAGTGACTTTTTGTAATTTCCATTAATGTCTCAATTATGTGATTCAAACCACAGAAGGCCAACTACCACTAGATTTTAAGGATATTGAACAATGAATGCAATAAAGTATTTGGCAATGAAATTTATTATTCTTTTTGAAAAATGAAAAGATGTATTTTTTCTAAAATATACTTATTAATTTATAATTACAAAAGAAATTAAAACTTGTATTTTAGGATTTTAAATGAAAGTAGGAAATAAAAATCTTATTAAAAGAAAGATACAAGGCATTGGAAAAAAAAGAGTGGTTACATCTAACAAACATTCTTATTTACTAGAATCTAACTTTGTCATTTTTAGCCATATGCTTATAATTTTTTAGAAATATATTTTTTTAAAGTCATATATATTTTTGAACTATTTTTAGGATTTTTTTACCAACTTACGTTTTTTTTTTTTTTTTTTTCAAAATATGTATTATAAATTAAGTTTTTTATTTTAAAAACTCTTTAAATTTATCATCTAAAAATTATGTTTTTTTAATGCTACTAAATAGTTTTTTTAGAGGCCTTAGCATTTTTTGATAAATATAGAAGAATAAACTTTAATCTTTTGACTATTGATAATTCATGAGATTTTTGTAATAATGTCTTTTTAGTGGCATAGGCACACACATTACATTTTCTACTAATATTGTTATTTTTTTCCTTCTTCCAATTGTTAGTTGTTATGTCTCAATGCAATAATGGTTAAATAAATATAATTATTTTTTTAAAAAAATTACATTATTCTAACTAGATTCCTAATTTATTTAAAATTATGGATTTAATATGTTAATTCATTTTAGTTATTTGTATTAATATAATAGAGATTTATTTTCTAAGTGACATTTTTTTCTCTATATGTTGTATTTCTTTAAGATATAAAGCCTTGACCAATATAAGTTTAGTAGGTGAAGCTCAAAGTATACAATTGGGACAAAATATATATATATATATATATATATAGACTACATATGGTTGATGCTTGGTTTCCTTTGAACATCATTTAAGTAAATATATGCCTTGTTGTCTTAACTAAGTAAATTATATTGTTGTCAATCTTCTCTATTTGTAAAACTTATGAGAATTAGAGTGGTAATCTAATAAAAATAAAAATAAATTACATGTTTTCATTTTCACATACACATATCCACTCATTAATTCTAAAAGAATTTGGTTCATGACAAAGAGTCTAGATCTACTGATTGGGGTTTGGAGTTCAATGATTTTCCAAATACGTTGGTCATCTATAAGTTCCATAGGACAAGCAGTGAACATACTTTTGGTTGAGAAATTTTGCATGATTACAAACCAAGTATCTCTAATATTAGCCTAGAAGTCAGATCTATTCCGAAACCGGTTAGCTGTGAAATAACAAAGGACCTAAAGAGTTCGATGAAGAAAGAACAAGGAATAGTTTAAAACATTTTCTTTTTGTCTTACAATCCAACCCAATATGAGCGACCATTGGGATTGTGCACGGGTGAAACATCTGGTGAAGTGACAGACCACTCATACCAGACTTTGCTGGGTCCTACACAACGCCAGAAATGAAGTTCTAAAGCTGAGCCTGCAGGTACATAAATAGGCCTTCGAAGGGGGAAAAATATTGCAAACCAACTAAACATGTCGGGAGTAGCAGTAGACGGCTCAATCCCAAGGTGTACATCTTTATACAGCACGGCATCAAAGTAGCCTCCAAATCCATGCACCAGAGCGCTGCCGGTATCCTCCGCGAGCTCAAACAACATCTTCTTGTACCTTCGATTATCAATCTTGCCTCCAACGAACTTGGGATGCTCGAATGTGAAAACTTCCTGCGGCGGTGCCAGCCTTGACACACTATGCAGCTTCACCACATAAGCGGTCTCAAAATGAGCCAAATCATTATATGATTTTACGTCATTATGCAGCTTGGACGCAGTGATGGGACCTATGAAACTTGTGTAGGACGACGGTATGGATATACCGTCTGGTTTTAGGAATCTTTGAGCTCCATCAAGACATTCTGGAGAAAGCTCGTTATCTCCAAAAGACCCTAGCAGTTCACTCACAAGTATATCAGCTTGCTCCGGAGCATTCCATTCTCGCATGTCACAAGAGACAACAGTAACTAAATCTTCCCAACCCTCTAGCTTGATCAAGCTGTGAAGAGTGACCACCGCATTTGGATTCTTTTCGACTGCATAAACCCTAAGACTGCGTCCGGCTTGCTCAGCAGCTTGCAAAGACGCACGCACTAATGGCCCCCGTCCGGCTCCAACGACCATAAGAACCACGGTCGTCTGATCATCCGGCACACGATCCATCAGAGCGGCGAAAACCGCTTTCTGATATTGACTGTATTTTGTGGAATCTTTTTCAAACGTCTCATATGTTTGGGCTTCCAGATTATCCATTAGAGGCTGCAGAGGCGCTTGCAAAAAGTCCCTATACCCTATTTCAAACCGCTCTTGCTCGGTAGGGGGGGCCATGCGGCGATACAAGTATCCAATATACTCCAGATATGGCCGCAAGGGGTGCTTGGGGAAAACTCCATCCTCGGAGCCATTCGCACTGCTCTCGCTGCTAGCTGTGGTATTTTCTGATCCATCCACGAGATGCATCGGATCTCCCGAGACAATAATTTGCACATTATGGTTGAAGAGACTGGTAATAAAATTCTGGTGCCTCTTGGGAAGGCAAGGGTATCCGCGTTTGTTGGTAAGAAAAGCGCTAGTATGGATTATAGCGGCTCGCAGAGGCTCTCCTGTCCATCTCTTTAAGGAACTCGGGGAAGGTAAAGATCCCGTAATGTCGAGGGCAACTGAGAGTTGGCTGTGATGCTCACACAGAGACCGAAACATGTTCCACCATTCCCAAGAATCGTTCAGCGGCCTACCAGATAGCGGATCCCGCTTCAAAAACACGGCATCCTCCTCAGGGGTCCCCTCTACGGCCTGAAGTTCCGGAGCAACGAGCGGAATCCGAAGCCACAGCTGGAGGTTGCTGAGCCCTTGGAGCAATTGATTCACACATCGTGCATAATTAGCACAGTTAAGAGGGCGAGGGGTAGGCAGCAAACAAGCCTGCAGGGAGAGATGCGTCGCCCAGCTAAGTTCTTGCTTCAGAGTAACCTCCGCATCCTGGCGAGCCAACTCATCCGGCGAGTCAAGATCAATCCACGGACTCATCTTGCCCACCACATGACTGCTCCATTGCGAGGGGCTTAGCACCAGATCGGACCCAGCAAACGGTGGGGGCCCTGGCTTACCCTCGCTGGGTCTGTAGTTCGGATCCGTCAGGGACGCAGCAATGAAATCAAACTGCCCGCCCAGCGCAAACGCCAGCGCGTTCTGAATGTCATCGCTAAACCCTACCTCAACCCCACAGTAGCGTGCCTCGCTGTTATCCCCTGCCCTCTGCGCCAGCGGCATCCTGGAAAATCTTCAAAATTTCCCTTCACTCTCTCTCTGCGACCACTCCCAGAGCAATCCACCGCCAGCGCCACCGCACCCTCTAAACCCAACTCATCTCTACACCAGCACAAAACCAATCTCGCCTCAAGAACTCCGCCACTCACAGACCTAAACCCTAAAATTCGCGCTACGAGTTCCTGCAACTACACTGCAAACTAAACGGCGGGAGCCGTAAGCAAGCTAAAGTACTCGTCGGACACAGGGCAGGTAGCAGCAATGTCAGGAAAGCCCGGAGGGAGAGAGTTTTAGGGTTTAAGAGGCTGGTCACGAAGCCATGAACGGAGAAAGGCCTGAACGTGAAGGTTTGGACATCAGAGTACTTCCGCTCGGCCCTAGGGCCCAAATATCTGTACAGAGGGGTGGGGGAATCATGGGCACGGCCACAGCCCCCCCCTCCCGCCCACCTCACGGTTTCCGTGCGGGCTTGCTTGACGACACGGTGGTCCGGCTGTCCAGCCTGGCACTTTGAGTGCCTGAAGTCGAGGGCATGTCCATCGCGGATTTATTTCCAAGGGGAAAAAATGAGTTGTGAAGTTGGATGCTGACGTAGCTTGTGCCTTATCCAAGGTTCAATAAATCTACAGAATTCTGTTCATGTTTTCATATGTCACATAATAATTGCTAAACATGTGCAATATTTGAGTTGTTTCATAACATTTGAATTTTGTTCCAATTATAGTATTGTCTATGTTACAATATTTTCAGGCGCGTAGGCATTACAGTAGCTTATGTATATTTAGAAAATTTTATCAATTTGGCATCCAATAGCTCCATAGTTTGAGCTTTTATCAACTCTTTTTATACTTCGTTATACCTATAATTTTTGCAAAAAATAGGAGCATCATCCATCAAAACAATCACAACTTCTTGCCGTTTAAGAATTCCTAAATCACTTCAGTAATTGTTGGTCTTCTTACCTTTCCACTCCCCCTTCAAACTCCATATTTGGTTTCCAATTTTTTGCAGTCAATGGTGGCTTATTCTCCTTTGAAATGGATTGCATTCTTCATAGTTGCTATACAATTCCAATGGGCATAGATTTTTTTTTTCCTCTATGCTAGACATATTCAATAATTTTCTTCTCTCTAATAGGAATTCCATTCAATTTTTTTTTTTGGCATTTCTATTGACAATTTTTTTTTTTTTTTTTTACATACTTATCAAAGATCTCATAATTATCTAAAAATGTACCAAAATGCCTTTTAAGTAGTGATCTTGTATTCTATCATTTCTAATAATGTAGTGCTACCACTATTGTATGATAATACAATTATATGGTGAAAAATAAAAATTTGGATGTTATTATAGAAGAGTCTAGTAGAAAGATGTAGTAGAAAAATAAGGATAAATGATAGGGAGGTAATAAAAAACTTAGTCTTAATATAATATTTTATAGAAGGAACTTCTATTTACTTTGTAGAAGCATAAATACCTTAAATCAAAGTAAATAAGATAAGTAAATAATATAGGTATCTTTAGGGAAAAATAAACAATAGATTCAAGCAAAAATTATCTCAAATTACCAAAAATTGATACTCGGAGAGAATCACTTGTGAACTTGAGTTGAAATTAGATCCCAAAGTACAAAACCGCACACCATCAACAATTCTAGGATTCTTTTGCAAATTGAAAAGTGAAATAAGAGAGCAAACTTGTGAAGAGAATTTTGAGAGTTAGTTTCATGTCATTTGGATTAATATTGAAGTATTGAGGGATTTTCAAAGTTGGTAATGTACATAATGGGTTTAGATTTTGAGAAATAAAAATAAGTTTATAAATTTGAAGATTTTGTGAATTTGGTAGCATATTTATGGGTGAAAATTTGAAAACTTTTCATTGTGCTTGTTGTAAATGTGTATGAAATATTTAAGATCAATGAAGCATTTAAATTGAAGTGTATAAGAGTTTTTATGGATTATGGTCTTATATAATTGAAATTTAGGATTAATGTGAGATTTTACAATCTAGAAATATTTGTTAGTTCAATTCAAAAAAAAATTAGTAAAAGTAATTTAGACTTGAATATCTATACAAAACTAAATTTTTGGAGCAATTGAATGGTTATGCAAAGAGAAAATTTATTGAAAAATCAACATTCAAGTCGGAGAATAAAGGAAGCTAACAATTGAGAGGTTTTGGAAGCTTTTCTTACAATTGATAAGTCCAATTCTTCTCAAAATTTGTATACATATTAATTTCTTATTGATTGAAGTTTTATTGAAATTTTAGTCAAGATTTATATTTTAATTAATATTTATTGAGGTTTCAAATAACTATAGTAATTGATTAAGATTTAGTTAGAATTTTCTTAGGATTGATCTAGGATTTAGGATTTGGTTAGGATTTAGGATTTTGCTAGGATTTCATTAGAATTAGTCTAAAATTTAGGATTTGATTAGGATATAGGATTTGGAATTTGATTATGATTTGATTAGGATTTAAGATTTTATTAGGATTTTATTAGGATTTGACATAGGATTTGATTAATATTTATTAGGATTTCAACTAGGATGTTGATTGAAGTTTAATTAAAATTTGATTTAAGATCTAATTAAGATTTATTAAAATTTTAATTAAGATTAAATTAGAATTGGATTAAATTTTATTTAGGATTTATTTAGGATTTTTATTTTTAATATTTTTTAAAGATTCTTGATTATTTTTAATTATTTTTCTATTTCTAATATTTTTAAAATATGATTTTTATTTCTTTAAGTATTTTATTTTTATATATTTTTTAAAATTTATTTATATATATATATATATTTTAAAATTAATTTATGACTTCTTTGTGTTTTTTTTGTAATTTCTTTTAAATATACTTTGGATTGGTTAAAGTTTGATTAGGATTATTAAAGATTACTTAAAATTTATTTAAGACTCTATTAGACTTAGTAGGATTGTTATTATGTTTCTACTTACCTTTCATAACTAAGTACCTAATTCATTATTAAACAATAATACACATAGTACAACACTGCTCTTTGTCTCAATACACATCATCTATTCCAAGATATGATAGATTTTGTATTGCAGCTTATTGCTCTAAATATGATGACTTTGTAGTATACAAAACTACTACTCTTCTATAACAATAGCTAATATCCATGTTAAACAATTCAAATCTGTTGCATATCCAAGTAACATCTTTTGTTGATCCTCAAAGATAGACTAATTAATCAATTAAGTGATGCTAATGAGAAATCCTATGGCTCACTTCCACTCATCTATATTAGGTTCTTTAATGATATATTCCATACTACTTGTATCAAAAATAGTTTCTAGACTATCTCTACAAAATATATATAATTTAAAAAAATTGATAAATATAAGAAATGCTTTATTTGGCCTACTAAGTATATTAACTATTATATAATGTGGCTTATTATTCCACCTAACATTACAAGGTCTTTTATGAAGATCTATAATATCTTATACAAATAATTGAAATAGTTATTTGGTATAATTATAAGTAGCTTATAAATTAATTATAAAAATCAAATTAATCCACCACTTGTAAGTCCTATGAATTTGTGAGCCTTTATTGGCTATATTAATAATAATTGGTGGACCGAAATAAGCATGAATGTACTTGATATTCACCTTTTTAGTCTATAAAATCTTACATATATTCTCAATGATATAACAAAGTTTGTGTGTTTGTATAACTTGAAGAATTTAGAAAATTCTAATGAATTCTTGAAATTAAGTACTATGCTTATCTTATAATCTATTTTAGTTTTTTTCTATAGATAAGCTTTGACAAGGCCAACTTCCAATAATCAAATTGAATTGATCATGAGTTCTAAGTTGCTTCATCAATTAAAGTAATATCTTGTGCTAATTTAATAAAAAAAAGTGTTGGTTGCCTTGCATTGGAATAAATTATAGTAGAGATTTTAAAGATTTTTGATATGTTTAATGATTATAGTTTTAGCTATTGGATCCATACCTACATACAAGTACTTCTTAACTTTGACATTTTCTTGTACAAAAATTGCTAATCTAATATCAATGCCACCAAAAAATTCCAATAAACAAATGTCTTTTTTAGAAGACTACCAAGTAATTGCCTTGGTACCAAGACCTTTGAAGTATCATATCTACCTCAAACTTCTTTGAATGGAAAAGACTCACCAAATGAAAATACTATTTATCTAAAACTTCATTTGAATCTATTTCCACCATAGCATGCTTCATGTGGTGACCTTCTTCCTTACATATAAATTATGTAGGTAAAGTGGCTTGGTGTCTATCACTAGCATGCCATTTAGTTCTAAATAAGGTTTTCTCATTCTGAAATTTAAAGCAAAATTCATATGATATAAGAATATAGGACCTACTAACTCATTAGATAACTAAGCTTATATAACAATAACCTTGGTTTTAATGATTGTTGCATCTATAATATTATATAGCTAAAGTTTAATCAACAATAGCTGAATTATAATTTCAATGGTATTTTCTAATCTTTTTATAGATGTAATAGTAATAAAAGAATAAATTCTCTAATGCATCCTTGTATAAACTTTTGTGTAAATTTCTAATATATCCTTGTGTAGCCTTGCTTAGCATTAATAGTTGGACTCTAAAATCTAATAAAATCCTTTAATGTATAAAGATCCTTTTATTAGGTCCCATAATTTACAACAAATTCTATATGTTATCTACTACTACAATTTTTGGTGTGAGAGAAGATCTTTCAATATGTGGTCTTGATGGCATGCTTTAAACTTGTATTCTTGATGTATAAATGTTCACTTCTTCCAATGATTCATGTCCTTCAAGTATCTCTATCATCATTTCTATAATAAATTATCATCTATTAGTTATATATAAAATATTGATTGTCTCTAATACTTAAGTTATATTAATTCTAAGTGCCTCAACTATTTGAGCAAAAATAGGGACATCAAAAAAAATTTCGATGCTACAAATAAAGTCTCAATTCCATTTGGCAACTTGATATAGTTTTTATCTTTATGTCTTTTTGTACAACTTATTGTGATTTAAAATTCAAATCTTCTAAGATCAATGACTTTAGTAAGTTAACTTGCTACCATACCTCTCTAACTTGTAGATGAAGTGTACTAGTGTTACCTCTGAGTACTTCTTCTTGTGCCTATGTCCTAATAGTTATTATATAATATGACTCACTTGCATCAAAAAAAGACTCATTCCATGCTCTATAAAATTATAATATTTTTATTTTTGATTTTATTTTTATTTTTTTGTTTTTCTTTTCCTATAGAAGTATCTTTTGTCTTTAGTGTAGTTAAAATTAATGCTAGTAGAGCTTCAATTGCCTTCAAACAAGACTTATCTTTGATTTCAT